CCTCATCTGAGCAGTTTTCTTCAAAGTATTAGCAGGCAGTTGTGTTAGGTAGTTATCCTAGGTAAATGGTCATGTGTCATCATTCCTTCCTTCCTGCATTCCTTTCCTACCTTCCTTCCTACATCCTTTCCTTCTTCTTTCCTTCCTTACTTTTTTTCCTTCCTTTCATCTCATCCTTCCTTCCTTCCTGCCTTCCCTTCTCTTCCTTCCTTCTGCTTTCTATAATATATATACACATATATAGTCACTGGATACTTTCATATAACTGCTATTATCTTCATTCGGCAAGCTTGTGTTGTGTGCGAGTATATGGACCTCTAATTGTTCTGAGTCAGGTTCGGCAGCTGTCAAAATGACACATTTTCTCATTACTCACTCCTCCTACTGCCAGTCAAAATATTGGGGTCAGATGCTCGCTTCCCCTGCATCCTACTATCTAATTATCTTTCTCCCTCATTCTCTCATTTGCTCTCATTCTCTCTCTTGTTCTCCTTCATTCTTCGTTCTCCTTCATTCTTCTGGTATCCTGGGCATTACTTTTGGTCACAAACTCCTCTAAACCATGAAATTGATCTTCACTGACACTTCCATCTGTGTTAGAGCATCACTTGGGAAGAGTAGAGTCCCAGATTTGCCGGAGAGTCACATATTTCTTACCGCTAGGCATGCTGAGCTGTATAGTCCTTGTGGCTTAGCGCTTCTTTTTGATTATAATAATAATAATAGGCATGCTGAACAAAGACTATTGAAATGGCATTCCCACAATGCACCACTGGCTCCCCGATTTTTTTTATATGGTGCACACTGAGCATGGAGACCCATTCTCTCACATGTGGACCTACCAGCTTTCTCCTGCTTGATTTCAAGCCGCTAGAATTTTTGCATGTTAATACGTCAAACACAGTGGCTCATATGACATATATGTACGACCGAAACAGTCAAAGAGTTAACCCTGTAAGAGGAATACTAGTAATGCTGGAGATGTCAAGATATTGCATGACTTAATGCTTGCAGCACCAACTGAAAATGAAACTAGCTTAGTTTTCTGCCCATTTAGGCAAACTATGGAAATCATTTAAAGTTTCATTTGAATCTTCAGCCTTTGTATGTGAGAGCAAAATTGCCGATTCGTGAATATCGCTGAGGTCGCTAACTTTGCAAGAGCGTAATTCCGTCAGTTTTTCATCAAATTTCGTTCTTTTGGTGTCATTACCATCGGGAAAAGATTATCCATCTTTTTTTTTTTTTTTTAAATTTTGCGACACCAGGAGACTCCTCGGGATTTTGGTTTGCTACAGTCAAGGGGCTGAGGTAAGTAATGAGTGTACTTACAGTGGACCCCTGAGTTTCTCGATTAATCCATTCCAGAGAGTCTTCCGAAAGTCGAAATTCACGAAATTCGAAACCATTTTCCCAATAAGAAATAATGTAAATCCAATTAATCCATTCCAGACACCGAAAAGTATTAATTTTTTTTTCTTTAATTGTAGATTTACATACTGAAAAGGATGAGAAATCAAGTATAAAACAATAATAACATCACACTTACCTTTAACCCCTTGACTGTCACAACTCCAAATCCTGAGGTGTCTCCTGGTGTCGGAAAATTTCCGAAAATAAAAAATTATTTTCTTGTGAAATGATAGGGAATCTTTTCCCGATTGTAATGACACCAAAAGAACGAAATTTGATGGTAAACTGACGGAATTACGCTCTCGTGAAGTTAGCGAACTTGGCGATGTTTACGAATCGGCGATTTCTCCCACTTTGAGCCCTATTTTGGGCTAATTCCATTGTTCCAGTAGACCAAACTCATAGCTATTTCTTTAGAACTCCATTTTTCTATCGATTGAGTGCAAGAAACTGCTCATTTACCAATATCAACTACCCAATAACGTGGTCAGAAATTTGCAATTTGGCGAATTTCACGAAAATTAAAAAATACGACAGTTTCAAAATAGGGTCCAGAATGAACAATGCAGACATTCCTGGCTCTAAAATAACATTTTTTTTATTCATCAGTCACGTCTCCAAGCCCCTCTGATATTACTCTTGCTTTCTCTTTTGAATTTTTATTCAAATAAAAAATAGAAGATTTACTGTTATTCAGACTACTGCAATATTGTAATAATTGTATAAATAATGTCAACCCATTCATGACTGCATATTAAAATGGCTACTTGGACATTTATTGGAAAATGACATCATTTGTTTACTTTTGAACATCGGCAAAAATCAAACATTTCCTCTACTTTGAGCTCCATTTCAAGGTTCTTTTCATAGTAAAACCAATCAAAATCACCTCTATTTCTATAATATATTTTCCATTCTATCAAATGAGACCAAGAAAACGAGAATATAACCATAAATACTATACGAAAATAAACCATAAATTCGACATTTTAATTATAAAAATGGTTGGAGTTTTTTTTTTTCTCATTATGCACTGCACGCTGCAAGATTTTTTTTATATGGTGCACACTGACCACACAGACCCATTCTCTTACATGTGGGCCTACCAGCTTTCTCCTGCTTGATTTGAAGCCACTAGAATTGATGAGTATATATACATCAAACACGGTGGCTCGTAAGACATATATGCACCTACCATCCGACTTACGACCGAGTTCGGTTCCGAGAAACTGGTCGTAAGTCGAAATGGTCGTAAGTTGAACTTTACTACTGAATATCAACATCACATTTTTGTAATGACTTTATTTTATTGTTTTATTTTGGTATTTCATGTTTTACTTTACTTTTTATGTTGTTAGTACTGTATTTTATACTGTAAGGTTTAAGATAAACACTGTGTACAACACAAATAGTTGTTTATTTCTCAGAAATTTGGCATAAAAAACATGGTCGTAAGTCGAGTGGTCGTAAGTCGGATGGTAGGTGTATATGACCGAAACAGTCAAAGGGTTAACCCCTTGACTGTCGCAACCCCAAATCCTGAGGTGTCTCCTGGTGTCGAAAAATTTTTGATTAAAAAAAAAAATTATGAAATGATAGAGAATCTTTTCCTGATGGTAATGACACCAAAGGAATGAAATTTGGTGGAAAACTGATGGAATTACACTCTCACGAAGTTAGCGACTTTGGCGATATTTACGAATCTGCGATTTCGCCCACTTTGAGCCCTATTTTTGGCTAATTCCATTGTTCCAATCGACCAAGCTCATAGCTATTCCTTTAGAACTCCATTTTTTCTATCGATTGAGTACAAGAAACTGCGCATTTACCGATTTCAACTACCCATTAACATGATCAGAAATTTGTAGTTTGGCCAATTTCACAAAAATTAAAAAATATGACAATTTCAAAATAGGGTCCAGAATGAACAGTGCAGACATTCCTGGCTCTAAAATCACATTTTCTTTATTCATCAGTCACGTCTCCAGGCCCCTCTGAACATTGCTCTTGCTTTCTATTTTGAATTTTCATTCAAACAAAAAATAGAAGATTTACTGTTATGCAGACTGCCACAATATTGTAGTAATTGTATAAATAATGTCAACCCATTAATGACTGGATATTAGAATGGGTAGATGGACAGTTATTGTACAATGACATCATTTCTTTACTTTTGAACATCGGCAAATATCAAACATTTCCCCTACTTTGAGCTCCATTTCAAGGTTCTTTTTATGGTAAAACCAATCAAAATCACCTCTATTTCTATAATACGTTTTCCATTCTGTCAAATGAGACCAAGAAAACGACAATACAACCATAAATACTGTACGAAAATAGACCACAAATTTGGCATTTTAATTAAAAAAAAATTATTTTTTTTTCTCATTATGCACTGCATGCTATAGGATTTTTTTTATATGGTGCACACTGACCACACAGACCCATTCTCTCATATGTGTGCCTTCCAGCTTTCTCCTGCTTAATTTGAAGCTGCTGGAATTTATGAGTATATATACGTCGAACACGGTGGCTCGTAAGACGTATATATACGACCGAAACAGTCAAAGGGTTAAGAAGAACATAAAAAAGGATGAGCACTGCAGTAGGCCTGTTGGCCCATACTAGCCAGGTCCTTCACAAACCATCCCACTAACAGAATATTTGCCCAACCCAATTTTCATTGCTGCCCAAGCAGTAAGCTTTGATAATTCTATTCACTCATGCGCAAGTCCCACTCAAATCAAATCTTGTGTGTGGGGAAGTAGCTTGGCTGGTTTGTTTGGGAAAGTACCCGGTGGTCACTTGTCCACAGACAATGCCACACTGACTCCTGAATGTTGTGTGGGAGCCTTTGTGTATGCCCAGCTTTTCCCGGTCACATGGACGCGTTTCATATGACGGATGAATTGCGAGGCAAATCATGAACCTGCGTGGCTTTATTTTGATGAAAAAGTTGCCGAAAGTCAAAATTCATAAAGCGTGAGGCGCGTATGGCCACCCTACCCACCTTACATGTGGGTAGGGTGGCCATACCTACCACACCTGACTACCATATGTACCTCACCTGACATCTTACAATAAATACTACTCACCTCTCACTTTACATTAAGACTACAAATATTTGAAGGTATGATGTTGATCCAAGCTGGTGCAGCAGCACCAGTTAGTTTCAGCACCATGCAGGGTCCTGAATTTTTTTCATACTGCGCACACTGAGTACAGAGACCCATTCTCTCATGTCTATGCCTCTCAGGCCTATCACACCAAATAATAAACCAGGAAAAATAAAACGTTGATATACGTTTGTAGCGCTAGCAGTAAGAACGTAGATCGACATTTGGACAGTTAAAGGGTTAAGGTCTCGGGTATTTCACCTAGAAGTAAACTATTTCTCCATAGAATACTGAGGGCTCATGCTAGTGTTTTTTTTTTTTGTGTGTGGGATACTGCTGGTTTGTTAAAAATAAAAAAAATGCAATTTATTCGGTGGGTTTATCTCATAGATCATATTTGATTATATTGACTTTACATAAAAAATGATCAAGGTATTAAAGATCTTTTATATATATTTTTCTTTAATGTAGATGATTGTAACACCCAGTGAGTCAGATAGCAGTGCATCTTCTACTAATGGAACACCAGAACATAAGTCACCATACAAGGGTTCTGCTCGAACACCTTCTCCTCGCAAGACTGCTTCATTTATAACTGCTCTCATTAGTGCTATGATAACAGGACCAAAGAGCAAGATTAACCAGTCTGGAGGCTTATTACCATTTAATGCTAATAAACAGGTAAACAAGTTACACATTAGCATTATATTAAAAATGATTATGATTTTTTTGTAAACTAAGATATGTCTTTATGAAGTTAGTGTTATTTTGTGAATATAATAATAATAATACTGAGATTGGTAGTAATACTGTAAATATTTTATTAATACTTTTCATGTAAATGGTGAAAAGAAGTGCCAAATTTGTTCTTTTATAAATACAAATCTTTACCTTCATATAGGAAACAGAAGGAAGAAATTCCCCTGAAGGCTCTGAGAGTTACGAAGTTGTGGAACATGATGGCATCAGTGGACCATCACACAGCAGCAGCGTCTCACTAGCAGATCAAGTTACAGAGGTGGATATTCTTCTTACCCGCTTCCTTAAAGTGTGTTGTGTCTTGAAGAATGACACTGATAACCGCCTCTCTGAGATTGAAGACGAAAAGTAAGTGGGGGGGGGGCAATTTTACATACTTTGCTTTCCTTTTTAATAATTACAAATATAATAATTACAAATATAATAATTAATAATTACAAATATATGCACCTTTCTCAGTCTCAGGAGAGTGAGTAAATTAAAGGAATGAAATTGAGAGGTTGTGTATAGGAACACTATATGGGGTTGAAGATTGAGTATGATCAGGAAGACTGTTGGCAACAATAGCCTGGTTGCCCAGACAGTCAACAATGATGTCTGGCCCCCGGCTGGGTGTCGAGACTAGAAGAACTCTGTAGCCAGTTAAATACCTTAATGCCAATACTGTAATTGGTCAAGTTTGTTGATTGTTAACGTTGGGACCAGGAGTTATGACTCGACTCCTGTACACACAACTAGGCAAGTAAATATAGGTTATTGGTATGTGTACATATGCACATGCATGTGCACACAGCACATGTACATACATGCACAAATGCACAGTGAATGGAAAGGAAATGGGGTAAATACAACACCAAGCATATCAGTAGAAAACATAATGGTATAATGTCAGCAGTATGTGCAAGATTAACCAGCCTCAGAACAGCATTCAGGAACTTAAATAAAGATTCCTTCAGCACTTTGTGCACAACATGTTAGGCCAGTCATTGAGAATGTGAACCTAACATGGAGCACATCCTTGGTCCAAAGTTTTGTAACCAAACCAACACCAGAACTGAGAGAAATGCTTAATGAGGAGAGGTTGTAGAAGCTGAGCCTGATTGCCTTGGCAGAGAGGAGGACTTAAGGGAAGACGTGATTATGCTATACAAAATCTTAAGGGGGCACTGATACGATGGATATGAACAAACTGTATGAGGACCTAAGAGGTCCCAAACCAACAATTATTACCTGTATGCCATAGCCAATACACTTCAGTGAAATTTTGACTTCATATATGGAAAGATACTAATGTTGCAGAGTTGTACTTGTTCTTTGCATGTTGGGTCATGACAGGTGGACTTGCCTTAGGTTCAACTGGAAGGCAGGTCATGCACTTGCCATTCAGTGGGAACTTCGAAAAAGTTTTTTTTTTTTTTTTTTTTTTTTTTTACTTTTTACTTTTTTCTCATGCTTCATAACAAAAACTACTGCTCTTTTAGTATATTTATTATATTCTGCATATAATAAATATGCAGAATATACTGGAGTCATTCCATGTCAAGTGGTCTGAGTTAAGAAAAGTGCCCCACCTCACCATTATGGATTTTGATGAAACTTGTGTGCTGAATCATACACATCTCAAACTAAGTTTGGTAAAGTTTTAAATCCATCAGTGAAATTGTTGCTGAGATAGAACTCTTTGACACCATGCCACACCTCGTGTACCATAACTCTATGAAATTTTGGCAGTTTTAACCCTTTGACTGTCACAACCCCAAATCCTGAAGCGTTTCTTGGTGTCGAGGAATTTAAAAAAAAAAAAAATATTTCTTCTTATGAAAATGTTAAGATTAATTTTCTGATTAGTTTAAGCCCAGAAATTTTTTTTTGCGATCAGTACTTACCGAGATATAGAGGCGTAAAGTTTGCAGAAAATGAGCCATGTATGGCAACAGCAACGAATGCCGCTTACCTGGTAAACGTTGGTTTACTTGCATTCCAAGGTTTCTTGTTTTTTTTTTCACTATTTTATTTTTTCAGGTAACTTATGTGGCCTGTGAGTCCAAAGTAAGGTACAATGTACATATATACACTCGATGTATACAACACAATAAGCACATAAACATAATTATCAATATATTGTTTACAAAACTTGTTTACACAAACAATACAAAATTTTTTTATTAATATTGTTTTATAATATACTATATACAAATGTACAATCACTGGACATGTTCCTAGAAGTTCTGTAGCTTGTGGAACTCTTTGAAACATGGTTTCATACACAATGGTATTTTACACTCCTGACACATAAAACGAGTGTGTCTGCATTTTTGTGGGCCTTTTTTTTTTTATGTGCACAGACAAAACACCTCGTCTGAGCAGTTTTCTTCAAAGTATTAGCAGGCAGTTGTGTTAGGTAGTTCTCCTAGGTAAATGGTCATGTATCATCATTCCTTCCTTCCTACCTTTCTGCATTCTTTCCTACCTTTCTTTTTACATTCCTTCCTTCTTTCCTACCTACCTTCCTTCCTTCCTACATTCCTTCCTTCCTTTCCTATCTACCTACCTACCTTCCTTTCTTCCTTCTTCTTTCCTTCCTTCCTTTCATCTCATCCTTCCTTCTGGTTTCTGTAATATATATACACATATATAGTCACTGGACACTTTCATATAACTTCTATTATCTTCAGCAAGCTTGTGTTGTGTGTGAGTGTGTGGACTTCTAATTGTTCTGAGTCAGGGTCAGCAGATGTCAAAATGACATATTGTCTCATTACTTACTCCCCCTACCACCTGTCAAAACAATGGGGTCCGATGCTCCCTTCCCCTCCATCCTACTACCTAATTATCTGTCTCCCTCATTCTCTCTCATTCTCCCTTCATTCTTCATTCTCATTCCTTCTTCTGGTATCCTGGGCATTGCTTTTGGTCACAAACTCCTCAAAACCATGAAATTGATCTTCATTGACAGTTCCATCTGTGTTAGAGCATCACTTGGGAAGAGTAAAGCCCCAGATTTGCTGGGGAGTCACATATTTCTTACTGCTAGGCAAGTTGAACAAGGACTACTGAAATGGCATTCCCACAATGCACCACTGGCTCCCCGATTTTTTTTATATGGTGCACACTGACCATGGAGACCCATTCTCTCACATGTGGGCCTTCCAACTTTCTCCTGCTTGATTTGAAGCCACTAGAATTTATGCGTATTAATACATCAAACACGGTGGCTCGTAAGACATATATACGACCGAAACAGTCAAAGGGTTAAGTCAGAATATTTTTTCACTCTTTCTACCAAAATAAATGAAACTTTGTTGTCTTGTACAACTTCTTGTGCTTAATCCAATGGAACTAATATAGATTTGCATTTTATTTTAAACTGAAATGTTGATTGAGCCTCAAAGTGGGGCAAAAATATCAGTGCGTCAGAAAAATGTCCAAATTTAACCTTCTCTGGCTTGCGTAATAATAACGTCCCTATGAAATTTTGTTTACTATTTTGTGACATAACCTTATTTACAGATACACAGTTTCAACTTAGGAGAATGTTTAATTTCTTTCAGATTTAAATTTTCACAGTGCCCCATAGCCTGGTGGCTAAAGTTCTCACTTCACACGACGAGGGTCTGGGTTCGATTCTCAGCGAGGGTAGAAATGTTGGGCATGTTTCTTTACACCGGTTGTCTGTTTCCCATCAGTTGGGAGTTAGTCGACTGGTGTGGGCCACGTCCTGGGAGAAAACTGGCCTAATTTGCCCGAAATGCTCTGCATAACAAGTGGCTTTTTATAGAGTAGTATGTCATTGATGTCAGCTAGGCCTGTATACCTTGGACATGTACTTGTAGAAATAAAGATGTTATTATATTATTATTACAGGTCCACCATCACAAATCCGGCAATCAGTTATTCAGTTCCTTCAGTTTTTTATTCGGCGCTAATTTTGGCAAGCACCTACACAGTACATTATCCATTAACGATAAGGTGGCTTTGAAGCCACTGTCGGCTGCCATGAGCTCAGTCTCGTGATGCAGGAGAATATGCTTTATTATTACCCTAATATCAACAATACAGCTTATTTGCCTATCACAATTGATCTAATATGACATAAAAACAATATAAATAACATAAAACATGTTAAATACTCCCTGCCTTGGTGGGAATCGGCCGGTGTGATAATAAAATAAAAAAATAAATAATATTTGGCATAACACCGAGCAGTTCGACGGAGGTATGAAGAGGATATGGTATACAAATACCATTCTCCTATCCCTGTCTTGGGGGCTTATATTAGAGAAAATGGAGTGTAGCACAGGGCTAACTGTCATATACAGTGGACCCCCGGTATTCGATATTAATCCATTCCTGAGAGCTCATCGAATACCGATAATATCGAAAACCAAATCAATTTTCCTCATAAGAAATAATAGAAATCAAATTAATCCGTGCAAGACACCCAAAAGTATGAAAAAAAAATTTTACTACATGAAATACTAAGTTTAATGCAATATAATAATTACAATAACAGTAAAATAATTGGCACTTACCTTTAATGAAGATCTGGTGATGATTGATGGGATGGGAGGAGGGGAGAGGTGTTTGTGTTTAGAGGGGGAATCCCCTTCCATTAGGGCTTGAGGTAGCAAGTCCTTTTCCGGGGTTACTTCCCTTCTTCTTTTAATGCCACTAGGACCAGCTTCAGAGTCACTGGATTTCTGTCGCACAACATAGCTGTCCATAGTGGCCTGTACCTCCCGTTCCTTTATGACATTCCTAAAGTGTTTCACAACATTGTTAGTGTAATAGTCACCAGCATGGCTTGCAATAGCTGTGTTAGGGTGATTGTCATCAAAAAGGGTTTGCACTTTAAGCCACATTGCACACATTTCCTCAATCTTTGAAGTAGGCAACTTCTTCAATTTCTCTATCCCCTCCTCCGAAGCAGTTTCCTCAAGTGTGGCCTCTTTCTGTTGAAGATGATCTATCAGCTCATCAGTGGTTAGTTCTTCACTGTCCTCCTCCACCAACTCTTCCACATCCTCCCCACTAACCTCCAACCCCAAGGACTTCCCCAATGCCACAATGGATTCCTCAAATGGCATAGGATTCTCAGGGTTAGCCTCAAATCCTTCAAAATCCCTTTTGTCTACACATTCTGGCCACAGTTTTTTCCAAGCAGAGTTCAAGGTCCTCTTAGTCACTCCCTCCCAAGCCGTACCTATAAGGTTTATACAATTGAGGATATTAAAGTGATCCTTCCAAAAGTCTTTTAGAGTCAGTTGAGTTTCTGTGGTCACTACAAAGCACTTTTGAAACATAGCTTTTGTGTACAGTTTCTTGAAGTTGGAAATGACCTGCTGGTC